AAACAGCATTTTGTGATCTTAATGAATTAAATCATAATTGAGAGCACAACAATTCTAATTTCACAATCCTTTTACGGTGAATCTAATTAATAGCATTTAAAGGTCCTTAGGCTTGTATTATGCTTTTATTATTGCAATACTCCCAGAGAGCAATAGTAAGCCCCAAAGCTTTCGAAATACGACAGAGGTTTCTACCGACCTCCAAGTGCCTTAACACTTGTAATTTCATATGCAAGGTAATTGCTTTAATGCTCTTTGCTGGTACCTTTGCTATCGTTTACATACTGTGGCCTCTTCTAGATATGTTTGTCCTACGACACCCACGAAATCAGACAGCCACAGTGCCATGTAAGAAAGAAGTAAGTCTGAAGGTCAAGTGCATGCCAACGTGAGACTGGTCATAGAGGGTGGAATTTCATGTGCCAGGCACTGAGATCTTAGGCTAAAGAACTGTTTGGAGATGACGGCAAAGACAATGAGGAGAAAGGTCTTGCCCAACAAGGGCAGAAAATTCTGAATGTTACGTTTCTTTTCTGCTCTGCCACAGCACTGAACCTCCTCAGAGTGCCCCTGGCAGTGTAGCCACAATTGTGCCTGTTCATTGCAGTCCTGACCAGTCGTCAGAAGGGATTCAGGAGTAACTGGATGTGAAACTAAAAGTAACTAACTGAGGAAGATAACCAGGAAAATCCTCAATGACAGTCTCTCATACTGTGGTTTAAAGTAGCATTTTCCAAAATGGATATCACAGAATTTATTCCTCAGCGAAGTGTCAGGAAGGGAGCTGTTTCTGACCAAATGGTCAAACCTATTTGAGAACCATAACACATTGTGAAATAATAAGAAATGTATATACTGGTCTCTGTTCCTGGTTCCTGACACAGAGATCCCCAAACCCTTGGAAATAGGGACACTGGGAAAATCTTTTGATTTAATATTTAGCCGTTGATCTTGGTTACTGGCGCAGAGATCCTAAGACTTTTATAATTTCCTGAATAATGAGAGCATCTGACACTGAGCTCCTAAGTCCCTTGGAATTTCCTGAGGTGACTCTTCGATGAGGGCTGGTCACCAGCAAGACCAAAGCAGGATAAAAATCTTGGCACTTTCAGACCCACCCCTATTCTTCAGAAGGGGGCTGGAAATGGAGATAATAATTCATCTTGCCCATATGTCGGGGCTTCCATAAAATCGCAATAGTAAGAAGTTAGGGGAGCTTCCAGGTTAGTGAACACACTCATGGGCCAGGAGGGTGGTGTACTCCAGCCTCATGGGAACAGAAGCTCCTGCACTCAGAGCCCTTCTAGACTTCAACCTGTGTATCCCTTCACCTAGCTGTTCATCTATACTCTTGATTCTATTCTTTATTAGGTAATAAAACGGTAAATGTAAGGAAGTGTTTCTCTAGTTGAATAATCTGTTCTGGCAAATATTCGAATCCAAGAAGGGGGGGGGTGGTCATAGGAACCTCCAATTTGCAGCCAAGTTGGACACAAGTTGTCTGGATCTGTTACTTGTGATTGGCACCTAAAGTGGGGAGCATAATTCTGTGACTGAACCCTTAAGCCGTAGGGTTTGTGATAACTCTGGTTAGTTTCAGAATTAAATATCATTGCAGGACACCCAACTGACGCTGTGGAGAATTGCTTGGTGTAGGGGGATACCTCATACACCTGGTGTTAAAACTATGTGTATGTGAGTAAATGAGAAAAGGGGAGTTTTTCCTAGACACATCACTCGCACATCGTGAATTCACAATGTAAATTTCTTCAGGAATACTTATGCTGAAGAAATCAATATTGTCAATTAAACCTATTAACTAGTGTTCAATTTATTTAACCACACAAGGTATTTTTTTCCCTTTGTTACATTTTTAACCTCCAACAGGAACTAATATTATGCAGAACATACTCTGTAACAGGCTGGTCTGAACATCTTTCAAATCTATAACTTATTTTCGTTTTGTAGAAGCAACAGGTCCCTTTGGAGGTGTGGTGGGTATAAATTAAATCTATCAACCTTTCAGGTTGGTCATTGGAGTGCCTGAAGGAGTGTTTCTACAAGTACCGACCAAATTAAAAAAAACAGCAACAGAATTTTGATCCCTCTCAAGTCCACCTAGTAGATCTTAGGGGTACATATGGTTAAGCAGCAGTCTCGTACACCTTCCTTGAAAAGCATACTATGTATGTCAAAGTTAGCATCTGAGCTATGCTGGATTTTGACTACTGTGAAGGTTAAGATTTAATGATAACAATTAACAGATAGTGGGAATTATGACAAAAATTGTTTTCCTCAAATTATCTCAGAAAATCCTTTCGACAACTCAGTGAAGGGAACAGGACGGTGATATCATTCCATCTTTTTTAAGAAACTGATATTCTATTTTCTGACCCTAAGGGCCCTGTGTCAGTTATATTTGTGCATGTTGAATATATGATGTATATAATAGAATAATCCTGTGTATAGAATAATTCTGTGCCACAAGAACCAAATAGAGGTCTCACTGTCTTTATCAGGCATGACCCTAACATTTCATGATGTAATGGATAATACTACCATTCGATGTCATTTTCTAAGACATAAAGTGGAAATTATATTGGCTTTCATTGTTTGCTCCTTTGGAAATACATATAATCCCATCCAAACATGTTATTGCCTTTCTCTGCCTTTTTTGGCCACTATTGATATTTAAGATAACTCATGTAATTTTGTCCTTTCAAAACAAAGTGTTAAAACTTTTGGGGTAAAATTGGTTTGTTGAGGTTTTTGGAGTTTTGTTTTGGTTTTGGTTTGTTTAGTGTTCTCCCCAGAAATCAGCATAGCACTGCATACAGGGGAGGTAGTCCATGAAAGCTATGATTTCATTAGGGTCCTTGGGCTCACGACTCTCTCTTAGGCATCATGCAGTTTGCAGAATTCTATCAAAAACCGCCAAAAGATTGAACAATTTTCATTTAATTCAGTGGCTCAACCTTTTCAATAAGGTTCTTATTGAAGTAAAACACAGATAAGAATACAAATATAAGCATGAAGCTCCATTCATTTTTATAACGTAGACATACAAGATAATCAACATCTAAAACTACAATATTATCAACATAAATCCCTTTATGCCCCTACCAGTCACTGTCCCCACCAAGTAAACCACTATCCTGACTTCTAACACCGTAGATTTATATAAGGGAATCATAATTTATATTCTCCTTTATGTCTGGCTTCTTTCACTCAACACTGTTTTTTTTTTTTTTTTTTTAATTCATCTATGGTATACGTATCAGTAGTTTGTTTATTTTCAGTGCTGCGTCACAATTGTAATTTATGTATCCACTCCACTAGATATGAATATTCAAATTGCTTACACTTTTTGGCTTTTATAAACAGTGGTGCTATAAACAGTTTTGTACATTTCTTTTGGGTATCTAACCTCCAGTGAAATCCCCGGGTCTTAGGGTATACAGAAGGCTGTCTAAAGTAAATACCGTCAAATTCTTTTCCAGACTGATTTTATCAATTTACTCACCAGCCATACAAGATACTTCAAATTGCTACACATGCTCATCAACACTTAATACTGTTACTTTACAAACTTTGGCCAATACGTTATGTGTCTGCTGGATTACTGTCATTTTACACTGAATTCTCATTTTTGAGATATACTTGAGATGCAATAAAATGTACCTATTTAAAATGATACCAAATTTGCTAAATGTGTCCATCTGTGTAATCTCCGTATCAATAAAAATAGCAACCATTTCCACATCACTCCCAGAACATTCCCTTGTGCCTTTTTTCAGTCAATTCCTTTACCACCAGCCCCCAGCAATTTCTGTCAGTATAGGATTTCTGTCAGGATAGGATAGTGTTGCTTGATGTTGGACATTCTATAAATGCAACCATATGGTATGTACTATTTTGTGTATACTTCTTTTATTAAAACCAATGTTTTCTAGTTGATCTAGTTTTTTTTTATTTGTATCAGTAATTCATTTCTTTTTATTGCTGAGTTGTATTCCATTATATAGATATGTAATACAATTTGTTTATCCATTAACCTTTTGATGAGTAAAGGTGCCTCACAGTGGTTTGTTAAGAATAATGCTGCTGTGAGCACTCACATACAAGCCATTGTGTGGTCATCTTCACTAAGTGTGTCAGAGGACAATTGAAACAACATAAGTGTCCATTAGTAGATGAATGGATAAAGAAGATATGGTATATGTATACAATGGAATATTACTTAGCCATAAAAAGAATGAAGTCTTGACATCTACAACACCATGGGTGGACTTAGAGGGTATGAGACTAAGTAAAGACAAATACCGTACGATTTCATTTATATGTACAATCTAAAAAACAACGCAAGTAACAAACACACAAACAAAAAGCAGAAACAGACCCATCAGTGCAGAGAACAATATGGTTGCCAGAAGACAGATGGATGGACGGATGAGCAAAAAGAATTGAAAGGAATTGGGAGGTATGGACTTCCACTTATGGAATCAATAAGTCATGGTGATAAAAGGTACATGATAGGGAAGATAGCCAATGGTATTGTAATAGTTTGTGTGGTGACAGATGGTAGCTACAACTTGTGATGGGCATAACATATAGAGTTATTGAATCACTATGTTGTATACCGGACACTAATGTAACATTCTGTGTCAACAATACTTCAAAAAATAAAAAATAAAATAAAATAAAATAAAATAAAATAAAATAAAATGAAATGAAATGAAATGAAATGAAATGAAATGAAACGAAACGAAACAAAATAAAATAAAATAAAATAAAATAAAATAAAAATAAAATAAAACAAAATAAAACACCTATGAGTGAAAGGAAGTTTGGAAAGAAATATTCAGATATCTTTCTGTTTTCAATATTCAATTCAATTATTCTCCTTTCAGTTATATATGATTAATTAAAAATACCACTATTCAACACTCCTTCCTACAAAGGGGATATAATAGTTTATTAATAATAAACTTACATATTACCATTTCATGGGTGAAATAGCTTCTTCTCCATTCTCACTTTCGTGTTTTCTGTGCAGATTGATTCCTAAATGGAAAATATTATCTATGAGTATTCATAGTGATAAGTTAGTTACAAAGAAGAAGTCAATATAAGTGAAAATGATAAAACCTCTATGATTGAGAAATGACATAATATTCATGTCATGCTATGTTATTTCTGAACAAATAGGCAATGTGAGATCTTCATTCATGCAATATATCCCAAAATCATAACCACATATTATGAGGTAAATTGTTACTTTTTATTAACTCATTGTATGAAAGTTAACATAAGAGTTCTTGAACGATAAATAAACATTAAAAATCTTAGTTTTAAATGAGGGGACAAAGGTTGTTTAAATATATCAAAGACCTTATTTATTATGGTAAGCAATAATGGAATGTAAGTTATAATTCTATAAATTTCAGATGACAAATGCTGTGGAAAAAACTGGCATTGTAAGAATATTCCAACACTTGTCTATAAATTAGGACCAGTAAAAATGTAGAATTTTTGAACATCTTTGCAGTGTGCATTATTTTTTATTTCATTTTAATTACTTTCCATTACTAGGGCAGGGAAGAAAACAATTACTGTCCACATCCTTACTCATTAAAGTGTTGGGTAGAAAAGAATCCAATAAACGTCTGCTTTTTTTCAATTGTCTTAGTCGTGAGAGGTTTTTCCAATTTGTGCTGTGCCATCTTTGAATAATTACAAATTCTATTCAACTGGGGAGATAGGTGAATTAAAAGAGAAGTAAGGAAAAATTTTGACTTATCATAGTTAAAATTTTAATATTTTTTTCTTAGAACGGGATATTTATTAAACATCACTGAACTCCAAACAAAGGTAAAACAATAATAAATATTTCAAATGTGACTCACATCCTTCTATGAATATTTTGATTTTTCCTTGTACTCAGGAGAAAATAAATCTCTAAAGGTTACATTTGTTCAAACTCCCAAATATGTTACTAGATCTTGAGTCTATACTGCTTCATATCTTGCAGTTGTTATTAACTCTCTTTTTATGTTGTCTAAATTGTTCTCATAAAGAAGTGACATTCCTAAGTATTTTATTCCTTTGGTCTAGGCATACTACCCCTCAAATCTTTTGTCAAAAAAATATCATTTTGAAAACAAGAAGAAAGAAAAGAAAACCCAGTCAGAGAAAGACAGATATCATATGCTTTCATGCATATGTGGAATTAGAGAAACTTTACAGAAGACCACAGGGGAAGGGAAGGAAAAATCAGTTACAGACAGAGAGGGAGGCAAACCATAAGAGACTCTTAAATACAAAAAACA